CGCGGCGTCGTCATATTTATGGAAAGACCTAGAAGAACGCATCTAGTCCTGAGTTTTTATTAGATTCAAAGGAGAACCAAAACATTTGTTGATTGACACACAATAGACTAAAACACAGAAAGTCATAGATTTGGTACCATGGATAGAAGCACGATAGATGCGACGGAGACTAGAGCAAGTTGGCTAATAGCAGACGTGGTCCATGAAGCAAAGATTTAAGCATGAGAATTTCTTGGGGCGTCTAGTCTCAAGTTAGCCTTCCATCCGGCGTGAGAATCCTGATTTTTAGGGGCCTACTCAGCGAGACAGAAGTATGCTTGCCGTTAAAGGCTTAAAGCTTCGAGTAGTATAAATAGGGTGCAATGGTCGAGTGAAATATCTGAACCAGAAAGGTAGGAGGCGGATCCTATGGGGCAAGAGGAAGACTCTGATAATACCTATGGTAAGAGGATTGTGAAATAATATGGCAGACTCTGATCAACAATCCCAGCACAAGGGTGAAGGGGGTTGAGAGGGTGAGAAAGCCAGTGTGGAGTGTGGGTAGTTTTCATGAAATCCGTCCAAAATGGCACACCATACCACATTTAAATAAGCAATTAAGAAATTGTGATAGTGAACGGGTGATAAGAGGATATAGGATTGGTGAATATCCCAGGGCAGAACGAGCTTCCCTTGTCTCTTTGAAGAGTTGTAATGTAGTGCTGAGTGGTAATGAGTGCCAAGGCTCGCTAACGATGCCGGCGAAACGTCCGGGAATATACCACGTTCATGGTCCAGCTCTAAAAATTATCATGTATACTCTAAGTCTTCCTACCAATATGACCAAGTTGAGATAATAAGGTCAAACAACTTATATACAACGAAAGGAGACTGCAACCATACAAAGGGCCACACCATAATTGTCTTCATACCCTTGAATGACAGGAAGAGTTCGAAATGGAAATCCTCAGTTGATTAAAAACCGAACTTTGAGGCATCCTTTGGTAGTTTCATATAAGTGAACATTTCATTCGGTATGAAAATTTGGGCGGAAAAGTTTCATCTGGTAGTCTAAATGGGATACGAAGGAAGATTATATATTCGAGCGTTACAGTCATACCTCAATATTCAATAGAATAGGGCGAATCTGTGTCAATTTTGCTCTCATCCTGCCTTGACGGAGATCGGCAGGCGAGAAATATGGCATTATCACATTTATTGCACTGAAAAACTCTAGCATGACGGAACAAAAGTAGATTTATAGAAGTGCGACCATACCAGAGGCCACAACATCTTGGTCTTAATATCTTCAATAGAAGATTTAGCATAAACTTGCCGGTGTCGTGAGAGGGCAGACCAAGGGTAGCTAGGCTCAGTTAAAATATATAAATCCAAGGCAATCTTAATTCGCTCTCCGATCAGGCTGGCATTTGAATAAACCTAGTCAAAATAAAGATATTTAGTGAAATACCCAATGGCGTCTTCGCGACTGACACTCAAGGACTACTATTTGTCACCGTAGTTATAAAACAGAATCAATTTAACAGACAAAAATTTGCAATACTTCATATTCTGCCCTCCGAAGAGGAGAGTTCTGTCAAAAGGTTATCTGCAGCCGCGAACAAAAGTGGCCGGCATTCTGGGCTGGTAACGTGGAATATTTACATTCCCGATAAGATAATAAGGTATTTTCTATAATTATCCCTTCATTTTACAGCCTGAAAAATTTATATCTGCTTGATAAAGGTCAACAACGCCTAGACATCTACTACAGACTCAAAGGATCAGCTAGCAATCGTTCGAGCCTAAACTGTCAATTACCAGGTGGGCTGATCATTCGCTCCTTCAGTCTGTAGACCTGTGAAAGATGTGCATCATCAAAAACCCAGTACTGAAAGTAATTACTCTCATTTTACTAAAAAGCTTAAATGGGAGAATGTGATTCAAGGTTGGTAAGGGTAAACAATCACCTTTGGAGGTTTTTTTTTATAATTATTGGATGGAATATGCCAGGGACATAATATAAATTCGTAAATAAAGTTATGTTGTTTTATTCTTACTTTTAGTATAAGTATACTTCGAAACTATAAGTCATTATTACATATTTTTCGCCT